TATAACACAGGGGGGCCCAAAAAAAAAAGTCATTTTGCCTCCATGACTTTCAAGGCGCTATAAGTTACACTTTATTAAATTTTTATCGGACATTTTTACTACCATATTAAAGAGCACATTAAATACTATAATGTACTCCGCCACAGCCTTCTGGAGGAGCGCCATCGAGAGATTCGGCCGCGCGAAAGTGAGTGGGTACCGGAGTTGAGCGAGATCGTTGATTTCTCCGCCACCGTAGACCACCCTATTGAACTCCGCCCGAACCGGGTAATTGAGGGGATACAGGTCAGGTGACCTACTTGGATATTCTACCTTCTTTAGGTATTCAGCCCCCTTCCATTCCAAGTAGGCGGGAGTTTTTCCAAAACCCTTTGATTCCATGTGGTGGCACCCAAACCTGTAGCAGCACAAGGTCTCCAAGAAGGTACGGGCGACCACATGTAGGGAGGATATTCTTCTCGAGTTACTTGATGTAACGCAGCAGGCTCACTTCAGTCGGGGTCTACAAAGAAAATATCGGTCTTCCCCTTTCCAGGTACCCCGGTCCATACCATCAACTCGCGCCTCGGCGAATACGGTGAAGATGATGTCCTAGACCGTAGCGACGTTGCCGTAGCTGGTCGATGTGGGAGGTCTTGCAGGTCAAGAGTACTGACCTTCAGGTAGCTATCTGTGGATGACTTCATTCAAGAAGTCTCGCAGCTGTTTGGAGGCGACGTGAATTCCAAAGGTGTTCTCCAGTCAGGCCGCGACTGGAGATGACTTCATATTTTGGCGTACATGAAGGCGATTGGCGGCAGCGTGCTCCAGCTTATAGAGGAAGATCTTGGGTATCTTCCACTCTGGTACTCATATCCACTTCCCCTGTCTGGGCTGCGAAAACTTCGTTGATATGTGGCTCGGCCGAAATGACTTTTTTTTTTTGGCCCTCCCCCTGTATAGTTGTCTCTCAATACTCATATACAGACGATAAGGCTTGACAAACCTAATAGAACAGCGGAATTAATAAGTGTGTATTTTGAGATCAAGGAAAGTATCTGTGTCATCGGAATATTGCAGCGAATTGAGAAATTACTCAATTATTGTGAGTTTGACAAAATTTCCTCCACCTTGTTGTCTAATATTCAGGTCACTATGAATTTGGCATTGCATTTTATTCCAGATGAAATTCGATAAAAATGATCCATTTCAGGCCGAAAAATTTCGAAAATTATGCGAAAGCAAGATTATTATTAGTCGATGAGCTCTTCACAAAATTTGAACAGGAGTGAGAATAGAAGAAGGGTGGAAACAGGAAGCGGGGCTTGGTGAAAAAAAAATTGGTGTCTACCACAATTATGCTTACTTACTTTGCATGTGAACTACAATGCTTTTGGGAAAATTTCGGAAATCTTTTTTAGGCGTCTCAGATGTCAAACCATATGAATGATTATTTATTAATAGATGTTTATTAATAAATTACAAAGTGAAAGAGCAGTTAGCTAGCCGAGTCCCAAGAATCCGTTGCTAAATCCTCCAAGATTGAGAGAAGCGCTGAGTCCGATCGAGCTTCCAAAGCTGCTTCCGTATCCGAGGCCAGGATAGCCACCACCAAACCCGCCACCACCAAAGCGGGGATAGCCACCACCAAAGCGGGGATAACCACCACCAAAGCCTCGTCCATATCCAAATCGGCGACGAGGGTAGCCGTAGCCCCAACGAGGGTAGCCGTAGCCCCAACGCTTTACTCGGCGCAACCTGAAATAAAAGGCTCTGTTTGAACCGAAAGAGAATCAGCATCATCCAATAGGAAAAACTCACTCATCGGATTTCTCAGCTTCACCTCGAGCTGGTTGAGTAAGCTGGACAACTGGAGTAGTATGGCAGGAAACAAGGAGTGAACAGAGTAGGCAAATAAGCAAAACCACATTCATTCTCGGGTTTTTCGTCACTGTCCATTTTTTCGAGTGACTTTATAGTTACTTTGATATTCGGCAAATTTCTCGTCATGTGATGTTTTTGGTTCATTGCCTTTGAGCACGAGTACTCAGCAGTAGTGAACTAACTTGTTCGGCGGTTACTGAAAAACTGGATCCCGTGTGTACTTTCGGGGTGCATCAAGTGACACACCAAATAGACGTGCGAAAATCAAAGTTTTGACCGATACATTAGCAGGGGAATCCCACAGATATGAAAGTGGTTTTGAGGAGTTGGCTCAGTACGGCTTAGGCGGGGGGGGGGGAGGGAGGCGTTTAGCACTTCAGCTACTTCCCATCGTCGTGCACATTGTTTTACAAGGGTTGACAAATGGTCTCCACAAACATTGACTAGAACCACTTTTTCGGCTTCATAAGATCAGACAAATCCCTACTTGATGGCTGGACAAGACGATGGGAAATATCGAAAGTGCAAAGTGCCCCCTAAGCCGAACTTGGTCGAGAAGTTTTCCCTGTTTGTTCAAAAAAGAGTATTGCACGCAAGTAGTACTACTCGATTTCCTAGCCAAGCTCTCAGTCGCTGAAACTGGGCCGACTCCTTATCAGGCTACACCGGGGCAGTTCGGCGATGGGAGAGGGGTGGGGCATTTTGCACTTTTGCTACTTCCCATCAACGTGTCCACCCATCTAGAGAGCCTTTTCTTGAGTTGACAGGTTTTACCATGGTGGCTCGACGAGCTTGCTCCAGCTTCACAAGAGTTCACAGGTTTCACCAGAGTGAGACTTGTAAACCGGAACTAGTGAAGCAACGAAAGTGCAAAATGCCCCCCCCCGTTGCTGAACTGCGCCCCACGTCAATAGCGACTTACCGGTGCTGTTTGATTATGCTAAGGTAAGGCATTTTGATGCAGCCATTTGAAACCGCGTTAACCTTTTTCTCCTATCACAACAATCGGGAAACAAAAGGCTGTTTCAAGATGATGGAGAAGGATCTCTATGGAATACAGGGTGGTTCCCTCTCCAAAGGCTTGAGAAAAAATTCTCACTTCTCTTGCTAGGAATTGTTTCTCAGCACCTTACAGTACCTACAGTACTATCTAGCACAGAATACATAGAAGAACTCGCTTAGAATCAAAGTACAACTCTTAACACATTGACGACAGTCCGTATTGTGAGGAAGCGCTACGTGCCACGTTTTACGCTTGCGTCCACTGTGAGCCATGGGCGGCTCATCTTGCTCCTCGTGGACCGCTTTTTCGCCGCTCCGACAAATTGCTCAAATCATTGAGCAATCTTGCACGGAATGCTATTTCTACCATCCCTGATTGCACTATACACCATGTTGAGCCCCATCTTCACAACCACGCCCACTTCTCAGCGCGATCGTGACTTTATATCATGACTTATTTTTAGTAGCTTTTTTCCATTTTTGCATTTCCACGCTTATATGGTACACGGCAGACGTGCATCGCGATGCGAAGGCGACTTCGTCTGCTTTCCAACGTGTATTGTGCATTGCGAACTCTGATAACTTCTTCCCAAAGTCGCCATTTCCACGACTACGCTTCACATACAGTCGTCATCCGGGACTTGATTAGGGCGGCAAGGGTCGCGACGCGGCTGCAGGCGCGTCACGACCGCGGCGATCAGCTGTTTCCAGCCTAATTTGGCCATTTTCTCCCTAATTTTCACTGTATTTTCTATTTTTCAAGGTTAGTTGTTTTATTGTCTTTATGAAGTACATGAGGACGTGGAGTCTTTTTTTGTTTTGCAATAGAGTGTTTTTGCGATTTTTTTCAGGTATTTGTTCAATTGTCTGCTTAACTGTTTAATTGTACGCAAAAATCAGAAATCTCAATCATAATTTACCTTGTGAAGACAAGGAACAACTAATCTTGAGAAAAGCAGCCAAAACAGTGTAAATTAGGGAGAAAATGGCTAAAATAGGCTGGAAATAGCCTTGCTATGCTACTACTAATCAAGTCCCCGGATGACGACTGTATAAAATGCACTCAAATCTAACATTTATAACCTCATACCTTGAACCCGCCCATTTAGTCACAACCCCTTGGGATTTATGGAACTCTTCTTTCTTATCAGTCCTTCACCTTTTTCAGCCATACCATGTAGGTCGCTCCAACCTTGCGGACCTCTGCCTACTGTGAGACTTCATAAGGCAATCGGCGGTATAGAGCTCGCTGCTCGGAATAAGCCAGACAATGTTGTGGCGCCAAACTGGACAATGCGCATCAAACAGCGCCGGCGATGAAAGTAATTAGGAAGCCAAATAACCTCGTTACACATACGTTGTTTAGCTTTCGATGGAAAAAAATTGTTGGCGACAAGTTGAGGCCTTTCGGCGCCATATGGGTTAATGGTGAACGGATCCTTGACCTAGCTACAGCCCACGAGCTAGCGATCTGCAGCACATTCTTTGCGAATAGAAAGACTCAGAAGATAACCTAAAAGCGGAAGGAGACATACGGAAATCGACCATGTCTTGATGGGAAGATCGTTTTTCAAAGCCGTTCAGGACGTCATGGGCCACTCTTGGCAGACATCGCCATATACATGCCAACGGTAAAAAACGAGCGGAGTACTCGGTGGTGAGAAATGTGCAAAGTAGAACAGGATAGATCCGGTATACTGGACGCTGGGCTCCCATACCCACACAGGCCGGTCTGAAAGACCTTGACCAATGCAATAGAGGTCATCCTACAGTGTGAAGGCCAAAGTGCAGAACTGGACGAGAAGCTGGAGGGCCGAAGTTCAAAGAGTAGACAGGTTAGTCTTCCACCTGGTTCAAAATCGGCATCGCGCCACTCAAGGAATCAGGATCGTTAAAAGTAAGAAGAGCTGTAAGCGTGCCATCCTAGTGAAACTAGCCGAAGTCAGAAGTAGGTGGGAATGATGACTTTGAGGTGCTCCGGAACGAAGAATCACCACGCAAGAACGGTCCAGGATAAAGACGCTAGGTCCCATCCAATGGACAGGGGACGACGTACGCCGAGAATCAAGAAGAATGAAGGTTGGAAAGGCGGGTGGTCTGGGTAAGGGTTTTGATAGGATTATGGGAAGCCTCTG